CATATTACATATTATCATATTATATCTGACTCAAAATGCTCCATGCCAGTCCATCTCATCTCTCCAATGCCTAGTATGTCAATATTTATGCGTTCCATTTCTTTCTTAACAATTTCTAATTTTCCTACATTGATGGTTCTCACATTCCATGTTCCAATCATATTGTCTGCTTACAACTGTTTCTCTTCCTTTGTATTTCCATACTTGAAAGTTCTACCTAGGTTGCCCTTTCTGTTAGTCTGCGTGTGTTCTGTTGTACATAGGGTTTTCAGAGGCCTGCTATTTCAGAAGTGGATTTCCAATCCTTCTTCATAGTCTGTCTTAATCTGACATCAAATTAATTATGTCATAAGGCAAGTCAGGAAGCCTAGTGCAAAACTTCCCACAGAACAGTTCACCACATCCCCAAAATATATTTATATTCTCTGTCTGCATTTTCATAAAAATCCCTTCAGTGTAGCTCATTTTAGTGTGCAAAGGAGCAGCAATCTGATTAAATTTTGCACGCTAAGAAGTGAATGACTAATAGTCTGTAACCCAATTAAGGCCATTTAAAGGGGCAATTTATTCACTTAACCCAGATGCATAAAAAGGTAACACCAGCAGTCAGTGACCATAGAAGAAAACACTAGCCCATAGTTACGAGCTAACACTGTCATTCTGCCATTTACAACTGCTTTCTCTTTAGACCATCTCCCTTCTCCATCTCATCTCTAGGGTTTTTTCCCCATCTGAAAAACAGGGATAATAATTCTTGTCATATTTGCCTCAAGAATAAAAAAAATACAATAGATTAAGGAATTGAAGAATTTAAAGATCTTGGAGATCACTAGGAAGATAATTTCTTTTTAAATTATTTATACTTCACAAATGAGTCAAAAATCAATTTTGAATGAAACCTTCTCATTGAATTCATATAACAACCACTTAAAACAGGGCAGAGGCTATAAATTGCACAGAGACTGCCCATCCTTCTCCTGTAAAACATGGCAGGGATCTTTAATTTCATTTCACAGAAGGAAAGTAGGATTAAGAAAAAGGAAGTGACTGGTCCAAGGTCCTATGACATGTTTAACCAGGCTTGGTCTAATGCTCCAGAAGTGTGGCCCAGACTGGCATCGTGGCCCTGGCTGCATTTGAGGTAGACGGCTCTTTGTTCCCTGTAGATACTATTACTCAAAAGTCAACTGGATCTGTGTACATACCTCCAGGCCATGAGAGGCACACTGCCATCCAAGAAAGCAAGGTCCCTCGTTGAATGAATCTGACAGCTGCCATTTGTGATGTTGTAGTGCATTACACTGGGGCAATGGCATTAGGTGTGTTGCAGTCAGTGAGACTGTCTCAGGATAGGGCAGGGTTCAGAGCTGTTGTACATAGTACCAGTCACAGGCAACTTGACAGCATGTAACAACAGTGTGTGATGAGAAGGAATGATTAGGGAAGTCTTTTGGTTTTGACTTTGTTTCTCTAATGTGTACTGGGGGAGAGTTGGAGAAGAGATTATTGAAATATTCAGAGAATATATATTCCGATGGTCTTTCTATAAACCAATCCAATCATGTGGCCTTCCTGTTTGTAGCCCTTCAAAGGCTGCCCCTGAAAATGAACCCAGACTCCTTGATGTGTGCTCTTTTGTGCTGAGTTCAGCCTCAAACAACTTCTTCATGCCACACATATGCCCATCTCCCCCTTTCTGAAGCAAGCGCTTAGAATATTGTCTCCTAACCATCTGCACCTGTCTGCCCCACCCTCCTGCTCTGAACTTCCACCAAAGACCCTGGACTCATCTGTCTCCCCAGCCAGACAGGAACTGGGAAAAGGTAGGGTCCACATTTGATGGTTCGGCCTCGGTGACCAGCCCAGAGGCTGGCACAGTCTCGAGACAGGCCCATCCTAGATCGCTCACAGTCATCTCTGCCACTCTCAGCAATCAGACCAGGAGAAGATTAAAGCATCAAGCTGGACCTGGGCTAGCCTTGGCCCAGTGTTAAACCAGATGCTCCAATCCTATTATTCTCAGCTCAGCCCAAGGACTCAAGCCAGGTCTTTTCTAGAGCTAGGACCTGGGCTCCTCCCTGCTTTCAGAGCCCAGGACTTCCTGGGACCCTGAGCTGAGAATAAAGCGGAGTTGATAGGGGGAGGGGGGAAGCGGTGGAGAAGGCAGAGGGGTGGTGCTTGGGATGCAGAGAGGTGAGTGATTATAGAGACGGGGCTGGAAGTGTGAAGAGAAAGGCCCTGGTCCAAGCTTAGGCCAGGCCCTCATTGGCTGAGTTCTTTACACACACACGCTGACTCAGTATCCCCACGTGCACAGAGGAGGCTGATCTGGGTGGTCTAAGGATACCTCCTGATGGGATTAGCAAAAAGAAAGAAATCCCCAAGCTTTAGAACCCAGTGAAGAGGGCCCCTAGTTTCGGAAAGGCTTTCTGCTCTGCAGTGAGTGGAAGGGTGGGTAAATCTTTAACCAGCTGGCCCTGGGCTGCCCAGAGCCTTTCCGGATGGATGACTGCCCGAGATGGGGGGGGGGGGGGGGGGGGGGGGGGAGGAGAAGGGTGTGTGGCCAGTCCAGGTGGGTAGGAGAAGGGAGGGTGTTAGAGTGGGGGAGGAAAGGAGCGAGCTTCGGGCGGAGCTGAGCGTGCAGAGAGGGACATGGAGGAGCGTGGATCCCCCGATGGGTAAGCAGAGCTCCAGAGAGGGTAGGAGGCGGTAAAGGGGGGGACATGCTGGACGCAGGGATAAAGACTCTCCTCGCTGCCCTAGGGATCCAGCACGGAACCACGAACAGGGGCCAGAGGGGCCAGAAACGCCCATCCAGGTGGTGCTCAGGTGGGTGCAGGCTGGCTGGGAGGGGCCCCGTAGAGCAAGTGGCCAATGGAGACACCACCAGTGTGGACCATCTGCCCGCTGACTGGTCCCCAGGGTGCGACCCATGAGCGCAGCCGAGCTGCGTCGAGGGGAACAGAGTGCGCTGCACTGCTCGGGGACACGGACCCTGCAGGTGAGGAAACATCTCCCGGTCTGGCCGGAGAAAAGCCAATTGGAGAGGGCCTCTCGCGGCCCTTTGCGCTCAGTTACCCCCGGGTGCCCCGCCCCCTGACGCCCCGCCTCGCCCCCGGGCGCCCCTCCCCTCTCCGGCCCCACCTCCGCGCTCCGCCCCTTCTCCTCTCCCCTCCCCCTAGGTGAGCCCCCCAGGCGGGGGCCCCGACGTGGCGTTCCGCTTCGGCGCTGTGCTGGACGGGGCGCGCACGCAGGAGGAGGTGTTCCGGGCGTGCGGCGTGCGGCGCCTGGGCGAGCTCGCGCTGCGCGGGTGAGTGAGGCGCTCGGGTGCGGCCCCTTCCCCCGCCGCCCGCCCTTGGCAGAGCCCCCGATCCACCCATGCCCCTGCCGCCCGCAGCTTCTCCTGCACCATCTTCACCTATGGCCAGACGGGCTCTGGCAAGACCTACACGCTGACTGGACCCCCTCCCCAGGTGGGCGGACTGCGAGCTAGGCTGGAGGTCTGGGGTGGGAGAGTGTCAGGGATCGGCTTGGAAACTCTGAGAAGTCTTAGGGACTCCTAAGGGTTTGGACTGAGTGAGCCCCAATTATTTGCAAGGAAACTGAGGACCAGAGAAATTAAGGGATTCGCCCAGTGGGGTGCTGAAGCTTTGACTCCAGGAAGATCTGGGTTTGCAATTTGGTCCCCTTTCTTTACTGGAGGGAGGATAGTCCATAGGAAGTTACGCGGCTAACCCAAAGGCGGTGCCTCTGGAAGTTCGAATCCGCTAGTGGCCCCAGGGAGAAAGATGGGCAGTTTCCTGTTTGATTTGCAGCCTCCCCAAATACCCACTGAAGAGGTCAGCAGAGTCGGATCAGACTCAGTGGCAAAGAGGATTTTGTTGAGTTTTCATGGACTAGCTCTCAGTTTCTCCGTAAAAATGTAATTTCTATTCCTTACTGAATTAGATGAAATAGCGTGTACTTGGCACCTGATGCGAGGTGCATGGTGAGGGCTCCGTAGGAAGATCACTGTTACTGGGGGGATAGTGCTGTTGCTGCTAACCCAGCCTCAAGCTTAGCTCTTTTTGCGCCCAGGGAGAAGGGGTGCCTGTACCCCCTGGCCTGGCCGGCATCATGCAGAGGACCTTTGCCTGGCTGCTGGACCGTGTGCAGCACCTTGGGACCCCTGTCACCCTCCGTGCTTCCTACCTAGAGATCTACAATGAGCAGGTAGGCCAGTGAGGTGAATAGGGACAGAAGTGGGGAGGGAGCTGGGGGAAAGGGCACAGGGCTTCAAACAAGGTCTGGGAACATAGACCCTGAGAGGACATTCTTCTGTCACCCTCTGCCCTCTCACTTCACAGGTTCAGGATTTACTAAGCCTGGGGACCCCCAGGCCCCTCCCTGTTCGCTGGAACAAGACCCGGGGCTTCTATGTGGAGCAGCTTCGTGTGGTAGAGTTTGGGAGTTTGGAATCTCTGATGGAACTTTTGCAAATGGGTGTGTGCTGTTTCATTGTCCATGTAGCAGGCCATGTCCCTCCCCTGGTCCAGAACCTTCCCAGGCTCCCAGTCCCTTCAGGATGAAGGTTAGGCTTCTTAGCTTGGCCTTCAAGGCCCTCCACTGGCTTATTCATTGATTCATCTGATACTCATTGAGCACCTGCCTGTTGACTGGTGTTGGAGGAACTGAGACCTAGAATGGGTCCTAGAATGGCACATGGTTGGTCACTCTGTCTTTATCTCTCCCTTACTCTCTCCACACAGCAGGAAAGGTGTTTATAAAATGTGAATCTGTTGTCATCCTCCTGCATAATTCTCTCCGTTCCTCTCTCACTTTTCTGTGCTTGGACCAGACCTAATTTCTATCTCTTCCTGGTGCAGTATGCTCTCTCACCTGTGTGACTTGCATGGGCTGATCCCTCTCTACCAGGTTGCCTTTGCTCCTTTTCCTCACTGACAGCTTCCTGACCTTCCCACCAGGTCCAACGTATGATATTTCCCCTCCAGGCCTTAGCCGTCGAAGGAGCTCAGCGCACACCCTGAACCAAGCCTCCAGCCGAAGCCATGCCCTGCTCACACTCTACATCACCCGCAAACCTGTGAGTGTCCCCGCTTGGGAAACAAGCAGGCCCTGGGCTCCCCAGCCATGGCCATCTCTGGATGTCCAAACCAACTGGGGCTTACGAGAGAAAGAATGCTAGAAACCTTTGGCCTTTTCCACTTGTGACTTTGATGGGACAGCTCCTCCCAAATCCCCACCAAGGCGCTGATCCTCCAGCCCCAGCAGATGCCTCCTGTGGACTCCAGGGAGCCCCCTGGTGGAGGGAAGCTGTGCTTTGTGGACCTGGCAGGCAGCGAGAAGGTGGCAGCCACAGGATCCCGTGGGGAGCTGATGCTCGAGGCCAACAGCATCAACCGCAGCCTGCTAGCCCTCAGTAAGACCCAGTGGCCAGCTGCCCTGAATTCCTGAGTTTTCTTTCTGCACCTTTCTGATCCGAAGCTTTCCATAACGGGGAAAACCAGAGGAGGGGAAGTGCGTGGAGAGGGGTTTAAAGAGGTGTGACCTTGAACCCAGAGGGCTCTGGCTGGCCCTTGCTCTGCTATTTATTTTCTTTCACCTCCTCTTAGAGCCTTAAGAACCAGTAACCCTAAAATAACAACAACAAAACTGTTGCTGTTGAGTCAGTTCCAACTCCTAGCAACCCCATAAATGGCAGGGGTTTTCTCTGTAGTCATTACAGAAGCAGATCTCCAGGGTTTGCTTCTGAAACATTAGGAAGTAGAAACATTGACTCCAGAGCATCAGTGCTCAGAGACATTCAGCCTGCCACTGTGTAGTGGAGAAGACTGGGGCCCAGGGAGGAAAGGGGATTGGCCTGCCTCCCCACTACCGCCAGTTAATGGGACTTTGAGATCCAGCAGGGCAAAGTCCGTGGTGTTTCTCCGTAGCTTATGAGGGAGATGCTTGGGAAACTCCTCTTCACTGCCTCCATTTGTTAGCCATTTCTGGAGCCCCTGCTGAGCGAAGGCCCTTTGCCAAGCATTGGGGGTCAGGGGTGGACAGGGCTCTCTGCTCCGGAGCAGACCCAGGATAGTGGCAGAGATCGCTCAGGACGTAATGATACTTGTGAAAGAAGTGGGTTTTAGAGGCACACGAGCCTGGTGCCAATCCTAGCTCTGAGGTTTACCAGTCTGGTCCTTGCTTTCTCCGCCCAGGTCACTGCATCTCCCTGCTGCTGGACCCCCAGCGGAAACAGAGCCACATTCCCTTCCGGGACAGCAAGCTCACCAAGCTGCTGGCAGACTCCTTGGGAGGACGTGGGGTCACCCTTATGGTACCAAAAGGGCCTCACAGGGGCTGCTGAGGTCTGGGAGAGGGGTTCCTGCAGAGGAGCACTAGGGATCATCCTCCCCAGGTGGCCTGTGTGTCCCCCTCGGCCCAGTGCCTTCCTGAGACTCTAAGTACCCTGCGATATGCAAGCCGAGCCCAGCGAGTCACCACCCGGCCGCAGGTCCCCAAGGTGAGTGAAGAAGGCACACACAGGCAGGAGTGGTTGTCAGAACCATGTCATAGTTGGAATCTGGGACTAACTAGGTCAAGGTTAATATTAGGGCTGGAATTCTTTTTTTATTTTATTTTTTAATTAAATTTTATTAGTTTTAATGAACATTTACAGAGATTTTGGGTTTTCATTCATTCATTGTTGCACTGTTTTCTCCACCCTCATCCACAGTTCGTTCTTCTTCCCCCACCCCAATGTCTCTTTTAATTGTCCAATTGCCACAGTGCTTGTCAAAGCCAGTTCTGATTAATCTCCTTTGTCAGTGTGTCCCTTGCCATTCCCTATCACTCCTCCCTGAGAGAGACTTCACCCTGATTCATAAGGAAAAGGGGATGGCGTATTCTCTTAGCTACTTCAGGCTGAAAAGGGATGCTGTGGGTTTCAGGGTGAAGGTCTTCTCTCACTACTCTAAAGGGCCCCTTTGGCAGTAGGAAACACATTGACTATTATGGAGACTGATTTTGGAATTTAGATGCACTGTTATCAGTTGTGCTTAGCCGTACATGTTCATATCCTTGAAGATGTATCATGGAAGTGTTGCAGCCTAGGGCTTGAATTCTAGAGAAGCGTTCATGATTGGGTAAGAGGAGGTCAAGTTTTGAACATGTTTAGATTTAGAGTCTAATTATAGTATGATTCAGGGTTTACCAAGGTTCTGGTTGGTAACATGGTTAAAACTAAATTGACATGAGATGTCTGATTTGTGGTCATAATCTGAACTGAGTTTGGGGTTGGACAGAGAGCCATCTGACACCTTGATAGAATTAGATATGGATGTCCTCTCCTGATAGGTACAACCCTGGGCTTAATCCACACACACAGAAGCCTTTGTACAGTGCACAACCTGCTCAACCGCATGTGTCATTTCTGGTCCTCTCTCCACAGACCCCTGTAGCAACGCAGCCCCAGCGATTAGAGACTGAGATGCTACAGCTACAAGAGGAGAACCATCGCTTACGGACCCAGCTAGACCAAAGGGACTTCAAACGTATGAATTTTGTAGGATTGGAGTGGGATGGGGGCAGAGTCTGGGTCTCCCATTGGATCCCGCTCCCTCCTGTTCTCCATAGCATCCAGAACCAGTGGGACCCAGGTGGCCTGGGCCCAGCGGAACCTCTATGGGATGCTCCAGGAGTTCATGCTGGAGAATGAGCGGCTCAGGTAGGACCCTACCGGCTGTGGGGCTCTATGCCTACCCAGCCTGCTGGGCTGATTCTCTCAAGCTGCCTCCCTTCCCTGTCTTCGACTCTCTCTGTGGGGCTGGTACTGTTCTTGGAGGAGGAGCTGAACCCACCAGCCTACCCCTCATCACTTCCTGGAGCCCGCTCTTCCCCAGGAAAGAAAAGAGTCAACTGCAGAGCAGCCGGGACCTGGCCCGGAGCGAGCAGCGTGTCCTGTCCCAGCAGGTCCATGAGCTGGAGAGGTGAGCCTGGCTGTGAGCTGGTGGACAGACCCCGAGGGAGAGGACAGGCAGCAAAGGGGTGATTTTATGAAATAATTCAGCATCAGGTCCCTAGAACCCTCTGTGTTCAGTTTCTAGTTCTGTGATCTACCAGCTGTGTGCCCTCGAGCAAACAAACCATTGCTTCAGTCCTCTCTTAAGAAGTGAAGAGACCATAAATGACATCCAAGTAGATATATGTATACTCATGTTTATCGCGGCTTTGTTTACAATAGCAAGGAGTTGGAAACAACCTAAATGCCCATCAACAAACGAATGGGTAGAGAAGCTGTGGTATATT